CCTTAGTTGTCATTTCCTATTGTTTACTTAACCAGAAGGGTCGGATTACTTATCAGTTATTACCTCATGTTGTGTACGTACGTACTTGTTTTAGTCTTTAGAGTTTTTAGCTAATTTTTATTAATCATTATTATCATGGGGGACCGTGAATTACGTGTTCCGCGATGTGTAAATTATGCTGCGTTAAATGATGGTCAGGAGGAAGACGACGGTGAAATTTTTCACGAAACTACCGGAGTCAACCTCGAAGGAAAAAAAAGTCAGTAAGGTATCTGGATACAGTTGTTAAGAACTCCTACTGGGACGAAAGAAACGGGTAAAAAAGTAAGTTAAGCTGCTCAAATCGTAATAATATTTTACCAAATAATTACCAAGGGATTTAAATTCATATTGACTAAATTTTTGGAAAATCGGATTTAATTTATGCGTTTTATGGGGAAATCCAGGAAAATGCTTTTACAGCTATTTCAAACAAATTTAAGCCTATTTTTCCGCAATATCTCAGGGACATAATATTAGAGGTAGTGCCTAACAATTACTAAAGTTTGTTGGAAATTCATTGAGGAAAGATAACATCATGTGGGCCTTAACTTGGAGCAAGAATTTTCAAAGAAAAAGAGTGTGTACAAAATAAAAGATTTACATTTTACTTTGTATCAAATATGTATTGACCGATTTCTGGAAGAGAACTTACCTATCATATTGCTACGTTCATGCAGAGTTTCAGCGCTGTACACCAACTCATTAGGGAGTTAAAGATTTGATTCAAAAGGCATGTTTTTCGTGCATGCTTAGCTCTTTTGAGACCAAAAGACTCTGACTGTCTTAACCAAAACCAAAACCCCTCTAGAGCTTCTGCATCTCACTGATTTTGAATTGATTATTTACAATGGTCGCAATAAATTTTAAAAAAACGTACATTTTGCATCAGTGATTTCGCCGTTACATCGAAATCAATGCAGGGGTATTTGTTGTTGTACGCCATTGTTTAATTGGACAATTGTGTATATCAGCACATTTTATATGTGTAATGACACATTGGCATTTCATTGTGTGCTATACCATATTAAATGGGATTCCACTCAATAAAAATGTAAGAAATAATGATATATATGAAACCTTTAATTCCCTTATTGTCCAATTAAACAATGGCTTACGACAACAAATAACTTCAAAATCAATGATGCAAAATGTATGATTTTTAAATATTTATTGTGTCCATTGTAAATCAATTCAAAACTAGTGAGATGCGAAAACTTTAGAGGGGTTTTGGCTTTATGTACAAGAAATTTAAAACAAATTCTAGGATTCGATTTCGAGTTAAGACAGTCAGAGTCTGTCTAGCATGCACGAAAAACATACCTTTTGCTTCATATCTTAATCTCCCTAACGAATTGGTATACAGTGCCGAAACTCTGCATGAACGTAGCAATATGATAGTTAAGTTTTTTTTCAGAAATCGGTCAATACATATTTGATATAAAGTAAAATGTAATTTTTTTATTTTGTACACGCTCTTTTTCTTTGAAAACTCTTGCTCCAAGTTAAGGCCCACATGATGTTATCTTTCCTC